TCTCTACTTGTATAAAATACCAATCTTCATGAATTATACACAAGATTTTCCACAAACTATTTCATTTCATTGATTAATAACGAGAAAGTAAAATGTAATCGACATCTCTACAATAATTATTTGAGAAGTAGAAACGCACCATATTGAAAGTTAGGGCATTGGAGGCCTGTGGTTAAAAGTTGGAATGATTTGTCCTAAACACCCTTAATGAATTGTTCTTCTCGAAATTTCTTCTTCTTCGTAATTAGGGGTATATAAGTCTAATCGTGTGTTGATCTCTATACTAATGTCCTAAACACCCTCGATTTCGAAATTTTTTGTTCTTAATTGTTAGGGGTGTATAAGTCTAATCGTGTTTTGAGATGATTAGTCTTAATTACCCTTAATTTTTTTTTTAATATAGTGTAATCGTTGGGGATACGAATGTCATAATGTCTCGACTTTAAGGATTATGGAATCTTAGCTTAAATTTATTTGTTAATTTTTTGGATAATTCTATATCTTAGTAGTTAATATTCGTTTTTGTTAGTTTTTTGATTTAGTTTCTAATTAAAAAAGTTAAATTTAGCTTTAATGAATTTGTATATTATATTGCGAATATTTGTTTCGAGAATATTTCTATTTTTTAAAAGTAAAATTTTGTAGATAATTATGATGGTAAACCCTAGATTTTCAACTATAAATATAGAGTCTTGGTCATAACATTAGCATTCACATTCGTTACCCTAGGTTTTTAGTTTTTGTACTATATCTCACGCTTGCTAATGATTTCGTGATTAATTATTTTGTAATTTGTTTTAGGTTTACTGGGCATGGGAGTTTTGATCCTGAATCATGGGAGTTCGTGATGTGTGTGAGAAGAAATCCACCACGTATGGGTGATAGAAATACCGAAATTCAATGAATGAGGAGATAAGTTTTTTTTTCCAAGTATAATTAGTAGTCATGCTCATGTTTTGATCTCTGCTTTTTATGTTTTTATATTTTATTTTATTTTGGATTCAAAGTAATAACGTGTTTGATGAGGTGCTTCGTAGATGGGACAATCAATTGTTTAAAAATCGGCATATATTAAACTCTTCTCGGCGGACAAACATAAAGAAACCCTAATTTTTTTTGTTTTATATCGATTAACTTCCTCTCTTTCAATTAGGTTTCCTTGACTCTTAGCAATCCATCGACGATGTATCGTCACTGGTGACACCAACTCCGTGTCAGTTTGTGACCTCCCATGCGATGGTTAAGGTACGCTATTTAATCAATTCTAATCTATTGTTTTTGTTCGATATTATTTTGATAAATCTTTTGCAATATCTAAATTTCAACTAAGATGCACGTGAAACAGAGTAAGTTATTCTATGCGGCTTTGATATTTGCACAACCGAACAATTCGTGTTTCAAAGTTTTTTTTCCTGTGAATTACAAGTTCTTTCTTCTTTTTTTTTTTTTGGTTTTAATTGATTTTGTTTAAGGGGGTTTGATTCGTATTTTTTTTTTTTGTTTTTGTAGTGCTTTGCATAATTTGATAAGCATGAAATTGTTGCGATCAGTTGTGGTTTATTGCTTGTGTTTTTCTGTTTTGTTTGATTTCTTTCTTATTTTGTTTTTCTTTCGAACCCAAGAGAGATCATAGGCAGACACTCAATTATTAGTGTTTTGTTAGAATCTTTCTTTGGCACATTGTCCCGTCGAGTTTGGACCCATGGCTTATGGGAAATTTTGACTTGAGACTGAAAACCGATCCTTTATCCACGGCTTATTATTTCGACATATGTACTTGGGATTGGTTTCAGTTTACTGGTCAAAGATCAAGTTACCCATTGCTTAAAACATCATCGGTCTTTAGACAGAGACCGAGATTCGGAAAAACCAATTCTTTAGACAAAAGATTGGATTGGGTTATGTTTGGTGGAAGGAAAATGGTACCCACGGCTTCTAACATTAGTCTTTAGACTGAGGCTGATTCGAACATTGATCCTTCATGGTACCCACGGCTTGAAAATCTCTAGACATGGATCATGTTCGTTTTGTTCTTTCAGTCTTTAGACAACGAAACAGTACCCACGGCTTAAACATCACCAGTCTTTAGACCAGAGACTGAGATTGGCTTATGTTTGGTAGAAGGAAAATGGTATCCACGGCTCAAAACATTAGTCCCCACGACTTGAAAATCTCTAGACATTGATCATGTTCGGTTTGGTTTTTCAGTTTTTAGACAAAGAAACAGTTACCCACGGCTTTAAACACCATAAGTCTTTAGACAAAGACTTGAGATTCGGAAAAAAAACAATCCTTAAGAGAAAAGATTGGATTGGCTTATGTTTTGGTGGAAGGAAAATGGTACCCACGGCTTAAAACATCATATGTCTTTAGATAGAGACTTGAGATTCGAAAAAACCAATCCTTAAGACAAAAGATCGGATTGGCTTATGTTTTGGTGGAAGGAAAATGGTACCCACGGCTTAAAACATCATATGTCTTTAGATAGAGACTTGAGATTCGAAAAAACCAATCCTTAAGACAAAAGATCGGATTGGGTCATGTTTGGTTGAAGGATAATGGTACCCATGACTTTAAACGTTGTCTTTAGACTGAGAGTGATTCGAACATTGATCCTTCTTGGTACCCACGGCTTGGAAATCTCTAGACATGGATCATGTTCGATGTGTTGTTTCAGTCTTTAGACAAAAATAACCCACAGATTAAACATTACCAGTCTTTAGACAGAGACTTGAGATTCAGAAAACCAATCATTTACTCACGGCAAAGACATTAGCAAAGAAACAGATAATTTTGGATTGGGCTTCGTATAGATAATTTTGTGGTGTACTTATTTATATGAGATATTTGATATATTATTGCTAGGTTTACATCGATCCAATATAAACATGTAGTTTCTTGTATATTAATATCTCTTATTTTATGAGTTTTTTTTTGGTTAGATGACTACAAGAAGGTAGTCTCTAATCTAATTATATATATTTGTATTTTATTAAAAATTATTTATATGCCTTCCTTTTTGGCTGTTAGAAACCCTAACATTAATTTGGTTTCTAAAACACATTGAATATCTTTTGAAGCTCGGGAAAAATAGAGTTCTCTAAAAAACGAAATCGATGTCGAGATTGCAGAGGTATGTCTATCTTGATGAAATTGTTAAATAGAAATTGGGCTCTTAAACAATTCAATCACCTTAATTTTTTCTTACAATCGTGAGAGGAGACTTTAGGGTTTGATTGTTTTAGTTTTGATTGGTGAATTGAAAGATGCATCAATCTCGACATGTGGTTTCAATGGTTCTTCCTTCAATTCCGCCCACCAACATCACTACCGAATATATCCATGGCTAGAAACGACGAAGATGGAACCGAATGAATGATTATTGACTCAAGCACGATCATCATTTAGCTCGAGGAGACTGCATATAAGGTATTGAAGGAGGAGTTTACCAGTTGATGACTATGGGAAGTTCTAATGGGATGTCTATTTTCGGAAATGTTGAGCAGCAGAATTTTAATGTACTTCATGATACTAAGAAAGAAACAGTACTGAGTATAGAGAGAGGGAGCAGGAATCCAGTGGGCAGGAAGATTCGTAGTGATCGTTTTGCTTACCGTAATGATCCTTATCGAGGAGATTCACTTCTAAGTTTTAGTTTTCTCATTTCTCTTCTTAAAGTCTCAAATTTGATAAATTCTCATCAAAAGGGTATTTCATATATACTAAGGAGTTCTTTAATTGTGGATTAGGCTAAACTAATTTGCTTCTTTGTTGCTACATTTAATTCTCTCTTGCAGCCAAAGTAATACGTGCAGCAAGCGACCTGGTCATTTTGCTCGCAATTGTCCTAATGTCTCAATCTGGCACAATCATGGCCTTCTTGGGTAAAACTATTCATAGTATGCTTGCCTTTCTTTCCAAATAATCGTTAGGTCTACATATACGTATCGCGCATTTATTTCTCATTGGATTGTTTAGCCAAGTAATCTTTTGGTATGGGTTCTACAATGATACCTTTTACCTCTGATTCATGTGATGCTGGTTATTTTGATATTGCGTCTCTTAACCCTAACATGGGTGAGTGGTCTGTTTCGGTGAAGATTTTGAATTGTTGGTCTGTTTCGCGTGGCTCGGATAGAGAGCTCAATATGATTTTGGGTGACAAGCATGTTAGTTTTTTAATAACTTACCTTCTATACATGTTTTCGATATTAAATTGAATTGATTTTTTCTTTAACATTTAATTTGCAGTTCACCCAAATTCAAGCCGTTGTTCGTGATGAATTAATTGATAATTATTTTTCAAGATTGATAGTCGATGAGTGGGTGAGCATTAAAAATTTTGATGTATCACGGGTTAACAGCATCTTGAGACCAGTACCGCATAGATTCAAGATTGTGTTTCGTTTGGACACATTAGTGCAAAGTATTAATATGTGCTCCAGTAGAACCTATTTCAATCTAACTGAGTTTGTGAGTATATTGAGTGGTATTGTTAACCCGAATATTTGCGTTGGTAAGCCTAATTTATGTATTTATTTGTGCTTTTGGAGTTTATTTACGATTCATGTTCTGACTGTATTATTCATGTGTGTGTTTCATAGATGTTGTTGGCAAAGTTGTCAACGTGAGAGAGTTGGTTTTTGTTCCTTCCGTGGAACATTCTCACGGAGGATATTTTGAGTTGTACTTTGGTTTACGTGATACTGAGTAAGTCACTATTTTTTAAAGATTTAAACCAGAATATAAAGTCTTACGACTTCTTCAAATCTTAAAATTAGGTGTATCCATCTAGAGTATAGTTTGACAGGTGACCTTGCAGTCGAGTTCTATGACTTATGGAAGCGTCGTTCACGTAACACAGTGATATGTATTATCAGGTTTGTGAAATTAGAGCTATCACAGGAACGTAGGTGGAGATGTACCAACGTTTCAGGATGTACGAGGATTATGTTGAATCCGAATCTCAGTATTACCGACGAAATGCTTTGTTGGTAAGTATTTTTTGTTTTTTCCCCGTTTACAATCAAAACTCTAAAGTTGGCGACTGAACATTTACTGTTTATGGTGTTCTAAATTGGATGTCAGGAATCCTGAAAACGACCAAGTACCTATCATCACACGCAAGGAGAATGCCATGGAGTGATGATGTTCGTTGATTTCTTATTTTCTTGCAATTTTGTTTAGAAGATGATTTATTATTATTTTCTTAGCATTTATAATTTTATTGAATTTTTTAATTTCAACATTTACCATATTTTATTACACTAAAACCTAAACAATTCACCATATTTTCTTACACTAGCACCTAAACAATCCCTTATCTCACATGATTTATTAATTTGATTAATAAAAACGCCCACACACGCGTAATTAAGTTGTAGTGACATATTATATTTTCCGTTGTGATTAATATATATTCATAATTTCTAGGCATGGAGTCGATTAATCGAACACGTGTTATCGCGGCATATGAAAACATGATATCTGATGAATTACGTGCGTTATTGAATTCACGACCTCCTAAGGATGTTTGTTGTCGTGCGAGAGCGCGCCGTGTAGCAATACTTAAATCAAGACGGATAAAAGCGAGGACAAGACCACCAGAAACCGGTACGATAGCCTTTTATATTAAGTTTTTATTCTCGAAATTGTACGTGTGATTAACAAATAAAAAAATGTTATATATAAGGGTTGGTGTTGCCGATTTACGAAGATGATTACGTGCATTTCCTCGCAACCGATTCGGATTCTGATCATGGTGATAGGGAGGACCAAACAGACGACGATAATGCAATGGATTATGATTTTGTTGAACATCTCGATAACGCCGATGAGTGTATTATGGAACAGGAAGGGTTTGGATCCATACCGATCATAAATGTGAAACCTGGATTAACAGAAAACGGTACTTACTATGGTTGTTTTTTTTATAATTTTTTAAAAAATATAATTGATATTATTGTGTACATGAGTGCTTCTTGTGTCAGGTTATTTTGATGATGGAGATCCGTTTTATACCTGTCAAAATTGCGGTGCTTATATGTGGTTTGGCGAGCATATTAACAAACGTGGAGCTAAAAATAGGCCTATATTTTCTACGTGTTGCATGAAGGGTAAAGTGGAGCTGCCTAAACTAAAAAATCCTCCACCGGTGCTTATGTCGATGTTGTATGGCAAGGATGAGAGAAGCAAAAATTTCCGTGCTTTAATTAGAGCATACAATATGATGTTCTCATTCACGTCGCTTGGTGGTCAAATTGATAATTCCGTGAACCATGGGAATGCACCGTATGTGTTTCGCATGCAGGGTCAAAATTATCATCGCATCGGTGAACTTTTGCCTGGCCCTTCCAAAAGTCCTGCTTTCTCGCAGCTCTATATTCATGATACCGTAAACGAAGTCTCGAATAGGATGGGTGTTATGGGGTGAGTTGTTTATTGTAATATATTTTTTATATTATGTCCACGAATTAATTTCCGTTTTTTGTTGTTTTTAATTGTTTTAGCGAGAAAGGACCGGGTAAGCAAATAAAGAAGAGTATCGTTAAGACTTTGAAGGATATGTTAGATGCTAACAACCCACACGTCATCGCGTTTAGATCAGCTAGAGATAGATTAGCACAATGTGAAGATACCAGCGGCTTTAAGTTGATTTTGAAAAATCATCGAGATAGTGACGGTAGAGTCCAAAATATACCTACGACTGACGAGGTTGCTGGGCTTATCGTGGGAGATATAAATCCTAAACCGCGTGATGTAGTGCTTCAGGCTAATTCTGGAGGGTTTCAGCGTATAAGTGAGCTGCACCCATCCTACCTCCCTCTACAGTATCCTTTGCTTTTTCCTTACGGCGAGGATGGATTTAGGTTAGGTATCGACATTGGATTCATCGATAAAGGCGGTCTAAAAAGAACAAAGGTGACTTCGATTTGGTCAATCTCTATAAATTTTGACTTCGATTTTATTTTGCGAGAAAATAAGGATAAAATTGTACAAATTTGATAAAGACTTTAAAATTTTTAAATAATGATGTGAATATTTTTATCTCGAAATTGTTTAATTAAGAAAGTTAAAATTCGTAAATATTGAAGATAATGTCTTATGAATCAAGGATATAATCCGTCAAGGTACTAATATTTAAATAATTATATTATGATTATAATTTTTCCACCATGTATTTTATAATTTGAAATATATTTTTGTTTTGAATTAAAATTAAAAAATTAAAATCTGTAAGGGTAGTTTCAGAAAAGGATGAAAATAAAAAAAGACACAAAGTTCTTTTATTCTTAAATATATTGACATGTGATTTTCATCCCACATACTATTTTAAAATTATGTGTTTATTATATACATATAGACACTTATATGATTAATTAAAGATTTGCTCTCTATAGTAGTATTTAATTAGATATTTTTAAAAATTGTTCATATAACTTTCTCTTTGCTTTTAAATTGTTTCAGTTTTATTAAATTTAGTGATCACTAGAGGAAAATCCGGGCGTTAATAATTGACATTTTTAGATTAATTAACTTAAGTTTAAATTCAATTTTAGTTATACATTAAAAAGTCATATGATATTGTATTTAGCATTTTAATAAATATAACCTATATGATACTATTAATCTATTCATTCTAATTTATATTTACAAATTGAAATTTATTTTTTGTTTCTTATTATTACTTATATATATTTTTTTTCTCTTCTATATAGTCTCTAATAATCTTAAAGGAAAATGATCTCTTCATAATAGTATGAAATGTACCTTTTCTAATAGTAGTTTTAATTTTGGAGAAATTCCAAAAGCTTTTCAAATTTATCTTCTTTAGTTATGTTGTTAAGGATTTGAATATGTGTAATTTGATAACTTGGTTTCTAATGTTATGAAATCTTGAAGAAAAATAACAAAAATATCATTATTTTTAAATAACCAAGCAATGGATTAGCAAGTAAAGAACGATGGTTCTTGTGTGATACTACATCATTGACTTTGATCGTGTTAAGAAGTCAATATTCAAATTCCCTTTAAATGTTTTGATTAGTTTATTTTTCACTTTATATGTAAAAGCTAAAACTTTTCTTTCCCATTTTATCAGCGGCTTAAATTTAAAATCACTTTCGGAATTTTAGCAGCCAAATTTTCAATTACTTTCAACCTAATTATTTTAGTTTGTTTGAACAAATTTGACCTAATTATCTCAAAGCTTGAACTGAACGTATCCAACACATTCGCTTCGACATAACGACAAGAGCGGAGTAGGGAAGACAAAATTTTGACCTCATGAATTTTAAAGCCTTGACAAACTTGATATATGGTCATATTGAAATAAACTGCAAGCATGTAAGAAAAAATTTAAATCTCAGTAATATGAAAGTGTATGTAAATGGGTCATTCTTATTATTTATAAAAAAACCATTGAAACTTTTTGAGGAAAACCACATGCTAAATGTTTTTTAAAGGAACATTATTTCATTACACATTTTAATTTTCATTGAAATTGATTCCAAAACTTACGATGAAAGCCATATATAATACTATCAAATCCAAGTGAAAGTATTTTATTTTTGTTCATCACAGTGCGTTGAAGTTTTGTCCTACACATACACACATCATCTAATCACACGTATAGAAACAAAATATACATAGAGGGATGGATCTTTATGTTAGTAGAGCAAAAATACCTCTAAAGCGTGAACTGAGGTTTTTACGCTTCAGTTTTTCTAATCTAAGGGTTATCTTGGGTAGTCGGCTTCGGCAATTCGCTTCCAGGGTGCTGCGTGCGAGCAATCGAGGAACTGAGCAAGGTAAATGTTGGCGGATTCATGATTTCGGAGGATGATGCTGGTCTCTTCCACGAATTTGTATCTACTATTAATTACACTTTCGTAGAGTGAACTTCTCTAGAGTGATCCAATGATGTTGATGACCACGCCAAATTCATCAACATTTGAGAAGTAATAAGTGCGATGAATTTTGATTGGGTGGCTTAGGGGGAATTCCAAAAGCTGAAGTTTGGGCGAGGGGAGTCTCTTGAGTGACCTATTATATACTATGTGTCAATGAGATGTGGATAATTGTAAGTGGTTTTTAAGAGTGATGTGGCATCTTGCAAAATCTCCGCTTACGTGGCTTCCTCTAAAATGCTTTTGATTGTGCTGATGTGGATATATTGAGAGGCCTCAATGAACACCTTTTATTAGTAAGAGATGTTGCCAGAACTAAGAGTTGATTCGTATTATTAACACTGCTCATGCCGCATGTATGTAATTTAATTTAGATCACTTTTTAGCTTTGTTTTGAATTATTTTGGAATATGAGTTCTACATAACGTGAGTTTATTTTGTAAGTTTCTTTTTTTTTCTTATATTGTGGAGTGTGATCAAGCTGCTTTTGGAGAAGTGAATTAGTTCAATATGATTCATGTTTCCTATGATCACGATATTCTTCATCACTCCATCTACAAACTTATAAAAAAAAACAATTGTAAGTACACGATTAGATTGTTTGTGTGTGTGCTTGATTTAGTGTTTGTAGATATTTGTTTTGTAAGCAATATTATTTTTAATTAAAATTTAAAACAAGTACTAAACCCAAACTTTTTATATATATATATATATATAAGTATTGATTTGTTAGGATTTTTCGGTTTAATTGAGAGTCATGTTTCTGATATGATTTTTGCTCTGTCTTTGTGTTATCATCAACCGGAATCAGCCATGGTGAATTATATAGTAAAGCAATACGTTGTTGCAATAGAAGGAGATACGACATTGGTCGCAGTGGAGAGCATGTATGTTATAGGAAAGGTCAAAATGGCATCGAAAACCCTAATCGGAAGAGAAAGAAGAAGATGGTGATGATATGAAATGTTAACAACGTTACTTGAGCACGTAGCTGGAGATGAGGATGAAAAGAACATGTTCTACATCCTTTAGTATCTTGAAATCTTTCTTTTGCAGGTGATAGAGAACACAAAAGTTATGATTGTATCTATAGAGGAATGAGAAGGAACAGATGGAAGACTCTTACATACCGGTAAAAGAAAGAGAGGAGATAGCATTAAGGGAACGCGAATGTTTGAATCTGATACATGCACTCATTTATTGTTGTTGTTACCCTGAGGTCGCTTCACCAATGCTACGGTGATCATGCATTGGTTTTATCTAAATTTTTTTCGTTTAGTTTGTAGTCATGCATGCCTTTGTTTATATGTTAACCTCAATTTCTTAGTCCGTTAGTGGTTTTACTTGTACAAACAAGGGAAATACCGCTGATGTTGAATACTTACTTCATATTTGAACGTGGAGGACGATCTTGAGACCAATGAAGATGAAGAAGAAGAATTAAGAATATTATTGGTATACAGAATAGAAAATGAGTGAATATTATTGGTATACGGAATAGAAAATGAGTCAAGATCATTAGTGATTCAAAACTGATCAATTAAATTCTGATATATAATAGTTATTTATAATGGTTGGTCCATAATGTATATTTTATTTTAAAATTAATAGTAAAATTATTTGATAACTACAATATAGTTTAGTTACTTTATAAAAAAAACCTTCACCCTACAGAAGTTACATAATTTTATTATTAATTTCTCACTGAATGACAAAATAATTTTATAAAACCTGATCAACATGATAACAAAACAAGAGAAGCAAAGTTGATAGTTTTCGGGAGTCTGATGAAAGAGTTCTTGATAAGCGTAGAAATTATTTGTTGAACATAAGTTTGGCTGTAACAATGATAACACAAAACATGAGCAAAATAGCGATTTTCTGCAGCCTAATGAAAGAGCTTTTGATAAATGTAGAAATAGTTTGCTGATTGATGAGTTTGGCTATAACCATGATAACAAAAAAAGGAGCAAAATTGACCTTTTTTTGCAAGGTGATGAAAGAGTTCTTGATAAACGTAAAAATTATTTGTTCATTGATAAGTTTGCCTATAACCATGATAACAAAACAAGAGAGCCAAAATTGACGGCTTTCTACTGTCTGATGAAAGAGATCTTGATAAACGTATAAATCATTTGCTGATTGATGAGTTTGGCTATAACAATGATAACGAAAAAGAAGCAAAATTGACGGTTTTCTGCAGGCTCATGAAAAAGTTCTTGATAAACATAGAAATCATTTGCTAATGATGAGTTTGGTTATAACCACGATGGAAAAAAGAGAGCCAAATTGATGATTTTCTACAGTCTGATGAAAGAGCTCTTGATAAACGTAGAAATCGTTTGCCGATTACAGAGTTTTGCTATAACCATTATAACAAAAAAAGGGGCAAAATTGACGCTTTCTGCAGTTCGATGAAAGAGAAATTGATAAACGTAGAAATCATTTGATGATTGATGAGTTTGGCTATAACCATGATAACAAAGAAAAATGAGCAAAAGTGACGGTTTTCTACAGTGTAATGAAAGAGCTCTTGATAAACGTAAAAATTATTTGCTCATGATGAGGTTGGCTATAACCATGATTACAAACAAGAGAGATAAAATTGATGGCAATCTGCAGTCTGATTAATGATATCTTGATTAACGTAGAAATCATATGTTGATTGTTGAGTTTGGCTATAACAATGATAACGGAAAAAATGAGCAAAAGTGACAGTTTTCTGAAGGCTCATGAAAAATCTCTTGATAAACGTAGAAACCATTTGTTGATGATTAGTTTGGGTATATCCAAGATAACAAAAAAAAAAAGAAAAAGCAAAATTAACGTCTTTTCGCAGTCTGATGAAAGAGGTCTTTGATTAACGTAGAAATCATTTGCCGATTGGAGAGTTTAACTATACCCATTCTAACAAAAAAGAGCAAAGTTGACGATTTTTGGCAGTCTGATGAAAGAGCTCTCGATAATCGTAAAAATCATTGGCTGATTGAAGAGTTTTGCAATAACCATTATAATGGTAAATGAGCAAATTGAAGGTTTTCTGCAGCCTAACGAAAGAGCTCTTGATTAACTTAGAAATTTGTTGATTGATGAGTT